AAATTTCTTGTCTATAGCAAAGAATGGCCAGTGAAAATGGGGCTCATCTAACAAAACTTCTTCAAGATCTTAATCAGACACTTCTTCTACCTCTGCTCCCATGAATTACACCTTGCAAGGATATAGTAAACAAAAGATATGGGAGGGTTGGCATATTTTGCAACTTCCTTATCTGAAATGAAATGATAAATAGCATGTTTTAAAGTAGTTAATTCCATAACCAAAACAAGTCATATCAGTTTTATTATGCATATGGATTTACTAATATTTTTCCAAAGACTTGAGGAAGGTCACAACATACTTAAAACCAAAACAGAATAATAAGCTGTAAAAGTGCACAAGTACACACAAACATAAGAACAGCGAGGTAATATCTCCGTTATCCTTTATATCTGGCCAACCAAATGTAGTGTGGAAAATCCTTTCCTACATATCATACACTCATTCCAATGAGTGACAGTTCTTCCATGTGTTGATCCTATGTCTAAAAATAGCTGCAAGCTATGACTAAAATTACAACATTGTGAATCCAGGTTGTTAGTTATGCTTTCATTATTTTGACTTCAAGAAGGACTTAAATTACTCATGACCAACTTTTTCACTGATTTCAACAGTTAGGATTCTTTCAGTGTGAACTAATGTTTCCCCCAAAGCTCTTAAACTATTTTTTAATGTAGCAATATATTTTTGCAAGAGTCATTTTCTATGTAAAATTTGATTTTGCATATCAGCTGGGCAGTTAATTTCCACCAGTACCTGAGAAAATATACCAAGAAAAGTAAAAACTGCTATACTCTACTCTCAATTTCTACTTTTGATTTTGTCTATTCATTCAATCTTTCTGCTGCATAGAAAGAATAAACATTCCTACTAAAGCAACAGACATGGGTGGGTGGGAAGAAGATGGACAGGACAACAGATGGAGGTACAAAGTCACCCCTGTTCTTGCTTTTTGGGTGCCTCAAAGCCTTTAAATATATAGGTACAATTTTGATTTAAAGCCTGGCACCATTAACAATCAATGGAAGTGATAGTTCATTTTTTTTTTGATAGTTTGTTTTTTTTTTACTTTTGAGTATCCCTGATCTGTTACCAACCTAATCAACAGGATTTCAACTCTATTAATCCCATTGAATCAACATATTCTAATATGCTTCTAAATTTACAAAGTAAACATGGAAGTTGTCATCCAGGGACAAATGAATAACTGACTATAGTTCCATAAGGTTGGAGAGGAAGAGGAAAAAAATGTGTCAATTTTCAGCCTTATCATCACTGGAGGTTTACAGACAATACATGGCTTGCAACATCATTGTTACAAATAGCAACACCTGCATCAACCTTGCTATTGATCCCAAAATAATGAGATCAGACCAGAATGACCTGGGGGCAAGCAGTCAGCCTGTTGACCCAGATGATGAATTGGACAGGATGGGCTGGGCAGGGCTCGATATAAATTCACAATCCCTCTGAACTTTGCAAGATTCAGAAACAACTATTTTCCATCGTTGGTAAGGCTAAGTCTTTCTTTGATGATCCCTCAACTTTAGTGCATTAAATAAGCAAAGAAGACAGGCCTTTGAATGGGCTCTTCCACATTTGCTTAGGAGCTACAGTATCTCTCAAGGAAGCCTGTTTGCCCTAATGTAAGTATACTGCTAGTAAATAACTAAATGTATGTGCCTATGGTTTTAATATTTTTACACTATGTGACTAGTTCTTTAAGTGGGAAAATAGAAGGTGAAGGTGAGAATAAAATTAGATTTTTTGAAATTAAGTTGCATAGGAGGAGGATGTATTTAAGATGCTGATTATCCTTTATATAATTAGTTTGGGAGAAAAAAGTATGCTGTTAATTTAAATAAATTCCAGGTCATACCTCATCCATTATATAACAGGACACAGTACATGCACAGAAGTAAACACTACTGAGTTTACTTCCAAATGGGTACTTTAAGACTAAATTGTCATCTTAGAATCAATGGGATTCCAATATTAGGAGGTTAACTATAAATCAGTAAGATGAAGAGAAGCCCCCTAAATTAGATAAAACAACACAAACAATTAGAAAACTATTTATTGTGCTACCATTCTTCAGATCAGGGGTGAAATTCAGCAGGTTCTGACAGGTTCTGGAGAACCGGTAGCGGAAATTTTGAGTAGAGCCTTGGTGGCGCAGCGGACTAAAACTGCTGTTAAGGTAGCACTTAGCTGCCAGCTGCCTGCAATTACTGTGAGTTCAATTCTCACCAGGCTCAAGGTTGACTCAGCCTTCCATCCTTCTGAGGTAGGTAAAATGAGGACTTGGTTTGTGGGGCCAGTAAGCTAACTTTGTATAAAATAGAACACTGCTTAGGGGGGGCCAAAAAGCCCTACTAAGCAGGTATATACAAAAATATGAAGGCTATTGCTTAAAGCATTGTAAGTCGCCCTGAGTCTCCGAAGAAGGGCAGCATATAAAATCAAACTAATAAATAAATAGTTCAGAGAACCAGCAAATACCACCTCTGGCTGGCCCCAGAGTGAGATGGGAATGGAGATTTTGCAATATCCTTCCTCCAGGAGTGGGAGGGAATAGGAATTTTGCAGTATCCTTCCGTTGGAATGGGGTGGGAATGGAGATTTTGCAGTATCCTTCCCCTGCCATGCCCACCAAGCCACACCCACGCCCACCAAGCCAGGCCCACAGAACCAGTAGTAAAAAAAAATTGGATTTCACCACTGTATTGAAACATTCTATTCCCCCGACCTCAAAAGGCCATGTCTTGATTCACATGACTCATAAAGCAAATTAATTTGCATGTTTCCATGGTATCCTTTGCAGGTCTTTTTTATATATATAATGGCTGCTCATCTTTGAATTATTTAAACTATATGCCCCCTGCTCTTAGGGGAGAAGATCATTCTGGAATGCAGCCTACCAAATACTCCTGGGGTAAATACTAATATGAGACTCAGCTTTTTTTTAAAAAACCAAAAACCAGAGGATTTCTATTATAAGCAGAAAGGTTTTGAATCAATTTAGGGAATTCTCTTTTCATAACATTATTCTCAATTATTCCTAAGTGCCACCATCACTTTTCACACATAAACTTTCTTGCAAAAGGACCCACAATGGCTAAAATGTTAATCCAAAAAGCTTGGAGCTGAGACAATCACTTTGGAAGCCATGGTTCCTGTCATGCTAAATTTCAGTAATCTTGTCCTTAAATTGCTTATCATTTATGCCACTTCTGTTGCTGCCACATATTTTAGAATACTGCAATGATGAAGAGCATTTCAGTTGTTATGTCTGAAGGACATAAACAGGAATATGATGGGTGGCCCACAAAATAAAAGACCCCATCCATGTTGATCAAAAGTTCAAAAGAGCTTCTGTTTATATTGTTTGAAAAGAAATAGATGGTTCCATACAATTGAAATATGGTGTTTGTTCCATTGCATTCTTCGTATGTAAAGTGAATGTCTTCTCAAGAACCAAATTTGCCACCATGCTACCTGTGTTAATAGCTGGGGTGGCTTCTAATATTTTTTACTACTGGTTCTGGGGGCGTGTCTTATTTTGTGGGTGTGGCTTGGTGGGGGGGTAATGTGACTGGGTGGGCATGGCCAACTTTTTTTTTTTTACTTTTAAAAGCATTTTTTTTCTACAACCTTGAGAGATTGCAGAAAAAAATGCTTTTAAAAGCCTCTGATGATTCCAGCTGAGCTGCGAGATCATCAGAGGCTTTTTTTTTTTTTTTAGTTTTAAAAGCATTTTTTCGGCTGAAGAGGTTGTAGAAAAAATGCTTTTAAAAGTTTTTTTTTAAAAAAGCCTCTGATGAGGTAGGCGGGGTAAGCAAGCGGTGAACGGCCCGGGGACCGGTTCAGGGGCGTGGCCAGCCAATATTATTACCAGTTCTCCGAACTACTACAAATTTTTACTACCGGTTCTTGTGAACCGGTGCAAACCGGGAGCAACCCACCACTGATTAATAGGACTGTGGACATACTGTCATGAACTTGTCTATGTTGTGGTAATTAATGTAACATGAAACCAGTGGATCTAATTAGTGTTGGAATTGATTGAGAGATGGAAGGTCATTACACTCCATGTAACTCTTGAGGCTATGTGCTATTGCCCCCCCCCTCCCCAGCTCAGCCGATTTCCCAGGGTTGTTAGAAGGTTGGAAAATTCTAATATTGGATGCCTGGACATCTAATGAGATTATAATGTACAAAATAATTAACCACCCAGAAGCCTAGTTCCAATACGCTTATTCCAAAAGATACAACTTACTGAATTTAGTAGGCTTTGAATGGCAGCAATTAGAATGCTAAATCATAGCGTAGTTTTGTGACTACTATAATTTGCTCTTTAAAAGATCCTGGCTTGGCATTAATTGCAATACAGCCGATATTATGCCCCACTTCTAAGATGTAAAGAAGCACATGTACAAGGTAGGCATAAGACAGGAATTCACAGCATAAAGAGTTGCATTTTGTTCATCAGTCTCATTTCTATGGAAAATACTTTATGACGGTGGATTTTCTACAGAATGCAAAGTCAGGTCTCAGCCTCTTTGCTCCTTCCCCAACCTGAATTCACTATGATTTCTAGGCACAGAGTTCATTCTCCCCATCATTTCTGATAGATTGCAAAGGGAGTGAAAGAGAAGGGTCCTTTTTACCTATCATTAGTATGTTTGCTTGAAGCACAGCATAACTATTGGCTGCCAATTGAACAGGACCTAAGAAATATTGTGGATCATCCACACCATTATCTCAATTTTCATTCATTTTAGATTCAAAAAGAACAGAATAGATGTAGATTTCTGATCGCATCTTGACCAATCTTCTAACAATGAATTAAAAAGATCTGTGGCAGCAAATTCTTATTCTACATACGTTACTGCCAGGAGTTCTGTAACAGGACTAACCCTAGCCTCAGCAAAAGCTGAATAGTGTTGATAGGATTGGGGGGCTGGAAAAGATTAGGAAGAAATCCAGTGGGACGAATAAGAATTATTCTTAAATTCTAGAATTTGTAAACTGGTCAAACATTTTAGGTAATAGGGAGATAACCATTTTATTTTTAAAAAAGTTGGAAGATGCACTTTTGGTCAAGTTATACATTTTAGAAACACTCCACAAGCAATTCCATCCACAGACACATTGATTTATAACCAGCCTACGAATCCCTCAGAATCTAAATCAACCACACAGCCAACCAGAGACAGCACCAACCCTCAACCAACCCATGCAACTCCCCCACCAGCAGTTCACCTCCCAATGACCCTGACCTGATGTAACCTCCCTATCACATGACCTGTCACAAGACTCTCACTGATGACTCACACCTGACCCATCACAAGACCCTCACTCGACACACCCACATCCGAAGCCCTTATAAACAGAAGAACATTGACACTGACATCCCCTAAACTCTGCTGAAGATGTTACCTAGCCTGGTAATGAAATGTTTGGAAACCAACCCACAAGCTCAGAGAATGAACCTTCACCCTCATTTTAGAAACATTTAATCAGATATATTCTCCTCCTGATTTTTAATATTCCAGATCTACTAATCCAAACTGCTGGCTTTCTACATTTCTGAATACTTTTCTGCAAGATTCTCTGCTCATTTCTCCTTTGAAAAATCAGCTTGGGAACAATTTTGACCTTTTGTAGTTTATCCCACCTATGTTGGCAATTCCAGCCAATTGATCCACTTCCACACACTTGTAAAGCTACAGATTGGAAATAAAAGAACTGAAAAGATTTTAAAGAGATTTGTTTTGTATGATCTTAGATGAGAGCATCTGTGAAACAGGAAGCTTAACTTCTGAAGAGAAGGGATAAAGTGCACAGTGTTTACAGGGGAGTGTTCTCCTCAGGTTATCGGCAGACACCTGTTCTCCATACACGCTCTGCCGGTAAAAAACACTCCTCTCCAGGGCTGTGGTTTGGACAATCATAGAAAGAATGAAAACTCCACGCTACCGTTACATTCTTCTGGTAAGTACTTTTGTGCATGCTTTAGGGCACAGATGGAAAAGGGAAGAGCAGAGTAAAACTTCCATCTGACCCAATGGCACTAGCCATTCCCCCATCACTTGATTCTTTCCCACAGCAAATATATTGCCTCTCTGCATAAAGATGGCTACTCCCAAATAATATAATCCCTTAATGGAAAAAAGGGGAGAAGCTTCTTCAAGGTGAAGCAGTGATTTTGTTTTGGAATTTTTTGGCTAAAAAACTTTGCAGAATCAACTAAGGCTAGAACCTGGGGCAGGGGTCTTCAAACTTGGCAGCTTTAAGACTTGAGACTTCAACTCCCAGAATTCTCCAGCCAGCTATGCTGGCTGGAGACTTCTGGGAGTTGAAGTCCACAAGTCTTAAAGCTGCCAAGTTTGAGGACCCCTGACCTAGGGCTTAGTAGTCAATAGATGAACGTGAAGAATTAACTGTTGGACAAATGAATTCTGTCTTACGAAGTCAGTTGTGACTTTGGGTGTAAGAAGCTGCTATAGGTTAAATTGCATTAGCTATACATAACGGTTTTCCTCCAGGTGTCTTGGATTTTTGACTTCAAAATACACTCTACTATTCTGATTGGAGAATAATGACAATTTCTGGTGAAATCACATTGTGTTGAGGCTGGAAATGGATGGAGCTTTAGTATCTTAGTATCTTCTCTTCCCAAATTTGGAGAAAAATGCAAAATAAATAGCATCAGTATCAGTTTTTCTTTGTGTGAAGTTCTGAATTTTCATTCCCCCTCTTCCCACTGTTTTAATTACAGAGTATCATGTCCTCTACTGATGTTGAGATTATGTCATTGATAATAAAAATGACATAAAAAAAGAGAAATAATAAGCAGCTGGGGGACTGATCAAAACAACTCAATGAGGAATGCACATGCTGGTTACCTAATCAAAGCTGAGGGGTGTGTATGTGTATGTGCATGTGTGGGGTGGGGGAGCATTGTTAGAAAGAACCAGAAAGCTGAGGGAAAGAGTATATGGGATCACAAAATAGAGTTTATGCAAGTTTCCTTTATTTGCCATAAGATTAAAAATAAATTATATTTTATATCAAATATTAAATCAGTCTTTCTATATCATAGAATTCTTAAATGATACAGTCAGGAAATACAGATTGTTACTGTACTCATCAAACAAGGGAAAAGAGTAACTGGAATTTTTATTCCACAAAGAACAAATAATGTCCAATGCCGATTCATGACTGATACCTTTGACATACATACGGTATATACCAATCCACTATAGTATAGAAACCAATTGACCTATGGAACATTCAGCAGAAAAAGGAGATAAGAATTTCAGAAGGAGAGCTAACAGAATTAGATATTAACAATCCATAGAAGAAGTGTTACAATTCATTGTCTTCCAACGTCAAGTATAAAAGTCCTAGTCCACCCTGCCAATGGAAGTTAACTATATGAGAGGGGGAAATAAATCTGGTGAGAAGGTCCAGGCTGTGTGAAACGTCATGTAGATATTTTGTAAGTGCATGACTGGATTCTAACTTACAAAACAAAGGCTGGAACCCAATAGCTGCGGGTTTGAAGGGCTGACCCCAACTTTTCAGCCGAGGTACAGGTTTTGCATACACAAACATACACACGAATCTTAATAATATTTGTAATGTCTTTCACATGAATGGCATGTTTCTGAAGTTGGGAAAAAGTCTTAGTCATCCTGTGCAGAAATCTCATTGAAATACTGAATAGATGAGGGGAAATGAAATTGCAGCAATTACTGCAAATCCTTTCAATCCTGAAGAATTCCCAATGCAATGGAAATTTTAGGCTTGCTTTGAAAACATTCTGGCTTCAGAAATAGATCCATAGGAAAGATGTACTAATGCAATGTTACATGAATCGTAATCAATTTCTCCTTCCCTCTTATGAGACTATTCAAGGCTTAATGGAAAAAAGGACAGCTTGTTGAATTGAGATTCCAACACTTTTTAAAATGGCTTGTTATGGACAAATTAATCATTTCACTAACTTCATGTACATGTTATTGCCTTATTGGAATTATTTTTGTAATGATAGGTTGATTTATCCAATTATTTAATGACTGGAGTCACACAATGTGCTTTCGACAAACATGGGAGATGTTCTACAGGCCAGGTAGGAAAAAAGAATTCTCACCTTATTTAATGATGTGTTTTTTGTCAGCCCAATCTGGGTGATGAAACTTTGTCTCTAGAACCTGAAGAGGAAGCTGATGGGCTAGACTCAATCAGGACAAGTGCAGATGATCCATCCGAAGTTGCAGAAGAATTGAATGAGCCTGTACTGAATGCTCAAAGTAGCATCTTGCACACAGAAGAAATCCAACAGGTAAATAAATTTTCTCTGTATATATTGGAATTTTACACTTTTCATGGTGATAGCTGGATATTATAGCTTAGCCTCTTTGCTGTTGTCCCTGGAAATTGCATAGAAAAAGCCCATTTCCTCCAGACAATGCATTTAGCTGATGCAAGTTTTATTGACCTTTTAACTGGGTTCAAACAGCTTGTCGAAAGCACATTGTGTGACTCCAGTCATTGTACTTTGTAAGCCATTGTTTTTGACTTAGGTGCTGATGGCTTAGGGCAGGGGTCTCCAACCTTGGCAACTTTAAACCTGGCAGACTTCAACTTCCAGAATTCGCAAGCTGGCTGGGGAAGTCTGGGAGTTGAAGTCCACCAGGCTTAAAGTTGCCAAGGTTGGAGACCCCTGGTTTAGGGTTTAAATCGAGATTTATTCAACAAACTTTGGTTAAACAATCATTTAGCGTGGTGTGTAAATTTAGCATGGTATGTAAAGCCAACCATTTTGTTCTCTGATACCAAGTTTCTGGTAGACCTGAAGTAGTTTCTGGCAAAGATTGAATATTTACTTTGCTTAGGCAGCATCCAGAAGCTGGATGAGGGAATCTTGTTTTCAGTTATGTGTTTCATAATTTGCAGCCTGCAAAGATCTGCTGATTCTAGTCCAATGTTTCCAAAGTTGAACAAACTGAGAAGGAAAAGATAATCAAAGGAAAAGACAGCTTGTTACAGGGCGAGGTGAGAAAAATTGATCTTGTTTATATGGTCCCTCTCAGCTAACTCCACATCTCCCTCCGCGAGTGACTGCCTATCCCTGGAACCTTGTCTACTGTACAGCAAGGGACGGATTTAGTCTGAAGACCATGTATAGAAGCATGAGCAACTTGGCCTCTCCTGTGTTATTGGTTATCAGGGATACTGATGGACAGGTAATCCCAGATAGGTCTAAATAATAACTTTACTTATGTAAGATTGATGATATGGAAAAGAAGAATGCTAATTAACTAGACCTAACTCAACTTTAAATAATCAGGCAATTATTCTTCTCCATTCACAACATTAAGAAGCAGTCAACAATATTCAGTAGATAATCCTGATCCATTAGAAAGGGTTTGAAATGGGAAGATGCAACAGAAACAGAAAGATTCATTTTACTATGATACAATAACTGCACACCCAGTTGGTCTAGTGCAGGGATGCCAAACTCAATTTCATTGAAGGCTGCATCAGGGTTGTTTTTGATCTCGGGGGCCGGGGTGGGCATGGCCAGCTTGACATCATTTGGGGGGGCACCCCTCCCAAGCTCCATTTTCGGCTGTGATGGCCTCATGCAGCACTCTGCCAGCAAAAATTGAGCTTGGGAGGGAGAGCTGGCAGAGTGCTGCAGGAGGCCGTCGCAGCTGAAAATGAAGCTCAGGAGGGCCGCACACGACTGTACTGAGCTCCATTTTCACTGGCAGAGGAACCCTGGGCTGGTCCCCTTGTGTTTCCGGGTAGCCCTGCAAGCCAGATCTAAGCACCCCATGGACTGGATCTGGCCCACAGGCCTTGAGTTTGACACCCCTGGTTTAGTGGTTAAGGCACCGGACTACAAATCAGGAGATTGTGAGTTCAAATCCAGCCTTGGCATGAAAGCCAGCTGGGTGACCTTGGACCAGTCACTCTCTCTCAGCCCAACTCACCTCACAGTCATTTGTAAAAATAAATAATAATAAAAAATAATAAAGTGGAAAAATAAATAAACAGCTCATTATATGTAGATTGGAGCAGTGGTGGGTTTCAACCGGTGTTACCACCAGCTCGCATCATGTGCACTACGTGCAAGTGAAGTGCTCCAAACATGCCTCCACGCAAGCACAGTGTATTATGGAACAGCTGAGATGCGGGAATCCGCTCTGCTGTGCCTTTTAGCTGGGCTAAAAACGACCAAATAAAAGGTACCTATAACGCAGGTGCGGGCGGGAGGGCCAACCTAATCATCAGAGAGAACCTGTTTGCTCTTAGCTCATCATCGTCGCTACCGGCTCGCCCAAACTGGGCCGAACCGGTAGAAATCCACCACTGGATTGGAGATAATGCAAGTCATCTTGATGGATACAAAAAAAGTACCTTGGCTTCATCACCCAAGGAATGAACTGCCTCCTGAGCTACTATTTTAACAGATGGTTAGAAAGATTTAGAAATGTAAGAGTTCACATTTATAAAAAATCTATTCGTGTTAATGCTAAACAAACTGTTGCTGTCTTATTATTGTTTGACAACAACTATTTGAAATCCTAGGCTGTTTTATAAACAACATTGTAGTAATAGAAAGGATACTGGATTTAAAAGGGAAAAATGATATTTGTGCACATAGCACATCTAATAAATAGTCAATGTTGATTCATTCAATATAATAGGCTAAGCAGACTGTGACATCATGAGTAATGTGCAGAAAGATAGACATGATTAAACTCCTGAAAGCTGAAACATATTCCCTCCTCTATATCTTTTTCAGATATTTGGAGCTTTTTCTTCTACAGCTATTCATGTGAGCAGTTGTTTTTATGGCAATGGAGAAACATTTCTGTTCTCTTTCACTCCACAACTCAAGGTGATTGAAACACCATGTTAATCTCTATGTTGAGTGAGTTGATTTTGTATTTACAGCTTCAAGAGCCAATAGTCATGCAAATTTTGCCAGTCACTTAATTGCTATGGCTATAAAAGGCGCACTTTAAAAGATTCTGTGATATTGTTGTGTTCCAGAATATAACTTGGCAAGAATTGTTTTAATGCCAACACTGAAAAGGTTTTTGATAGATTAGAGAGTGGGCTAAGGGAAAATGAAATTTAACAGAAACATGTGAGTTTCTTCTTGTGATGAAGAAGAAAGAAGAAAACATAAATGATGAAACAGAAAACATATAGAAATGTATTGGATGGAATATAACCAGTCTGGTAATTTATTTATTTATATCCCATCTTTATTATTTGTGCAAAGCATATTGGACAGATAGTTGGAATAACAGTGCAGATTAAACATGAGTCAGTATTTTGATATCATTGGGAAAAGACCAGGGGTGAAATGCTCCCGGTTCGGACCGGATCGCCTGATCCGGTAGCGATGGCAGCAGGTGGTTTGGAGAACCGGTAACAAAAATCCCTGCACCTTCCCCCATGCCCAGCTGAGCCACGCAATCATCAGAGGCTGGTTTTTTTTACTTTTAAAAGCATTTTTTCTACAAGCCTCTGATGATCGCGTGGCTCAGCTGGGATCATCAGAGCCTTTTAAAAGCATTTTTTTCTCCAACTTCTTTGGCTGAGGAGGTTGTAGGAAAAAAAAAAAGCTTTTAAAAGCCTCTGACGATCCCAGCTGAGTTGCCTGATTGTCAGAGGCTTTTAAAAGCATTTTTTTACAACCTCTTCGGTCGAAGAGGTAGACAAAATGCTTTTAAAAGTAAAAAAAAAAAAGTTGGCCACGCCCATCCAGTCACATTACCCACCCACCCACCCACCAAGCCATGCCCACAGAACCGGTAGTAACAAATTTTATATTTCACCACTGGAAAAGACTAATGAAATTTTAGGCTGCATCAATATAAATATTGTTTTCAAGATCAAGAAAAAAATAAGAGCTCCATTTTATTCTGTATGATTCAGGCCCAAACTTTGGTATTGTGTTTGTTTCTGGCACCACACTTTAAGAAAGATTCAGACAACCTGAAAGAGATTTAAGGAGCAACAAGATGAGAAACTCTCTCTTATGAAGAGTGGCTGGAAGAATTGGGATATTTAGCCTTGAGAAAAGAATATTAAAGAAGAGTAAAATAGTACTCTTCAACAACATGAAAAGATGTACCCAAAAGGTTAATGGAAAATATTCAATGAAATGTCAGAAAAAAAGTTTGCTAATAGCAAAAGGACTTTGACAATGGGTTCTTCCTCTTTGGATATCTTCAGATGAAGGTTAGAGAGTTTTCTGTTAGGAGGCTTAATATGGATTCATACACTGAGCAATAAATTGCACCAGTACCATAAATCAGGAATTGTCCAGCCAGCATGCTACCTCTCTGATGCTTTATTTCTATGCATGTCCACACTTTCGTGATCATCAACAGGAGGATATTAGCTGGACATACAGTACAATTAGATGTGATCTATTAAATCACACTATGAAAAGATTCAAGCTATCACTAGAAATAATATGAGTGGGATTTTTTTTTTGTATAGGAAGTTTATATGGTTTAATTCCTAAATTGCTTAATGCTATGCTTTTGATTCCCTTGCCAGGTATTTAAATGGACAGGCAAAAATACCTTCTTCATGAAAGGAGATGCAGATTCTTTAGCCATTGGTGGAGGCAGGTATGTCGCTTTGAAAGATAGCTAAGTTATAAGGAAATTAATTTGTCAGTTCAGCATGCCTGCTGCACTGCAATCTTTGTGGAGAATCTCATTAGCTCTTTTGCATGGCTAAGAAAGTTCATCATGAATTGGAAAAGTGTTTCCCTCATTTTTTCCCCCTCACCAAATCTATCATTACTTGCAACAGTGCATGTTCTTTTATCATCCTATTTTTGATGCTCGTAGCTCATAAATGACATTGTCATTGCTGCCACCAGACAAGTATTTTTAAAAAAACCATTTGATGTCGAACAGTAAAATTGCCCTAAAATATGGATTGTCTAATTTTTTTTACTCATCACTACCCTCCTCTTAGTTCTTTGTTCTGCTATATCATGTTGAATATGTCATTCTATCCCCTATTTCCTCCCTTCACACTCTTGTTATTCCAATAATGCCAGCTGTTGAGTTTTCATGCATGTCATTTTATTGGACATTGGAATAACTGCCAAGTTGTGAATATTATTACTTGCCGAAGTTCCCTGCTAGGGCATTTTCTCTTCCACACTCGTCTTTTTCGTTTTCATGCACCAGCAAATGTTGGAAGAATGCCAAGAAATGCAATTGAGACTATCTCCAAAATGTCCAGGGTTCCCAAGAGTATGAAAGAATTCAGCATTTGATTTTGTTAATAGTAGTGTTAAAGTGATAGGTATGTCACAATTCTGCCAGAGCAAAGCGAGATCTTGGAGTAAAAAACAAAACACTATATATTTAGTATAAATTCTATCACCCAATGGGACCATCCAGCACCCCAATTTAGAAAAGAAATGCAAAGCTTATATTCTAACTGGACTCCAGCAAATGAGTCAGTATCATTGTACCCTTGAATAGGTTTTGTGCTATGGAAGTTATTCTATATGCTATCTCTTGCCTTGTATGCAGTGGTAAATTTGGACTCTGGCTAGATGGAGATCTGAACCATGGAGGAAGCCATCCCTGTGAAACCTTCAATAATGAGGCATTATCACCCAAAGAGGAATTCCTCATCCGAGACTTGGAAGTTTGGACACTATCTTAACTGGAAGAAAAATCAAGACATCTCTTCATGCACTTTCCAAGCACTTAAGAGGATTTGGCCAGTAGTCCTGCATCAATTTGTCAAATCCCCCTCAAATGAGGATAGTCCTCTTGTGGATTCCCTGTCTTTATAGATTGGGAAGAAAGAAATCAATGCTGGAGAATCTTACTAATTCCTAATATTTATATCCCTCAATTATCAGCTTCTTTTCAAGTTAGCTGCACCTAAAAGTAGTTTTTCCTTTGGATCAGATTAGTGGTAGACATATGTAGTTCACATAGGAAATGATGTCTGGGTAATGATCTTATTAGGAATTGGTAAGCAATAAACCTATTTGCCACTATTGCTTGCTAGGGAAGTAACATAAACATATTTTGTTTTTTGCTTTATCAGATACCTGCCCATGTATTTGTATGGGTCAAGCTACTTTCATAATAGAATCAAACATATTGCTCTTAGGCTTCACCTAAGACATTTTTACTTGCTTATAAAATATTAAGTAAATAAGGAGGAATTTCCTAACAATGAGTTATTAAGCAGTGGAACAAGCTGCCTCCTGGAGTTGAGGATGTTCCATCACTGAAGCATTTCAAGCAAAATGTTGGAAAGCCATTTATCTGGGAAGCCAGATCCTGATCCTGAATAGCGGGTTGAATTAAAGACCTCCAAGATCCCTTCCAATCCAGATTCTATACTTCAGCTTTATGCTTTAAAATGTGAAATCTCTGGAGAGACTTTCATAGGAATTCTTATGACTTAATTGTGTTACTTAGGAATAGTCGAGTATTTATATCACAACACATTTCTATTGTTGTTTTGTTTTGTTCACATGCCCAAATACCTTCTACATATTTCTCTAAATGTGTTAGTGCCTACAAACAATGGCTCCATACTTAAAAGAAGAGAATATTTATAACTTAAGAATTGAATTGTGGTGTCCTTGGTCCTCTCTGAGCTTGGTAGCTCATGCAATGGAATACTACAATCATTTTTTCTATAGCAGGCCACCTTTTGAGTTGAGTTGAACTCTGATGCCGTAACATGAACAGGTCCATTCAGTATTCATGGCTTCATACATATGGCTTCTTGCAGGGAAGTATTGTTTTTGCACCTCAGGACCTGGTGGTTGTTTTTTTTTTGTTTTTTTGCCTGCAAAAGTAACTTTGCAAATGATAGTTCTTCTTTAATACAAGGCATGCATCACTCGGTTTTACATCAAACTTTTTAGCTTTTTCCTTTCTATCATAGAAAGCTCACTTCATTAGCACTGCATTTGCAACATTTTGTCTCCAGACATCTGCCACATCTTCTGTAGTGTAATATGGACAATTTTCACTGTTGTATTTCTGGCATCATTTTATAAACATTTCAATATTCTATAACATTTATAAACGAATAAGAAGTTGGTCATTGTGGCTGTCCAGCAAAGGAATACTGGCAGAGCTTTTTACAATCAATTAATTTTAAGAAAATATTTTGAAAGAAGTCCACTACAGTCATGGTTTGCAATTGGATGAATTTTCTAACTTTTGTGAAACTCCTCTTTTAACAAGCACTGTTCTTTGACCTGGCTGAGCACCCTTTGAGAGTTGCAGTGGCCCAAAGAAGGGAAAAAAAGAGATAATTTCAGGAAAAAATATTTGCTCCCAGTCCATTCAGTATTTCTCTTGATTTGTCTTCATTCTCTCAGTTCTATTGTTACCAAATTATATAGTGAAATTCATAAAAATTATTTTAAAGCAGGTTAAATTGTGCAGTGTAGCTATGCTCCTATTAATAGTCTCCTTTTTCCTGACCTTTTAATTTGAACTGTATCAAAAAGCTAGAAATACATTTAGCTGACATAAAATAACATGGAATATGAGAAGGACCCGGTACACAATATACTCAAGTTATCCTAATGGCAAACCAAGACAAGAATGGTCTTTTCAGATTAAAATTGTGTGAAATAGCTAGTATTGTACTCTGGTAGACAGAAACATAATTCAGAACATCATTGAAAGATTCAAGTGAATCTTTGTTAACTTTGTTAACTTGCTGTTAGCACTTATTAGGGAAGCTCAGATCTATATTCTTCTTCTGGAGGAAAGCTCAGATATGCAAAGTGGAGGGGCAACATTTGGCTGTCTGCTGGATGGAGGTCATGAAGACACAATAGAAGACACATCCACCTTTTGCTGGATATCTGGTAATTCTACCCCTGTGTAAAAAGGTTGATAGCTTTCTTATCACAAAAGCAGCAAGATAATGCAGAAGCCCAGGATTAGCATGAACAATTCACTAACCATTCAGACGTGAACCTGAAAAAATAGTTTGATTTGCAAATAGAAGCAATGTTTGAAAATTCTTTCAACTGGACCAAATACTGTACAAATCCATATGGCAAGCAGGTCTTTAGGAACTTCACAATTTCTTTCTCGTCATATAAACCCTGAGCTTGTAGCAGTTTGAGTTCCAACAACTAACATAATGTACAGTAGATCCTTGAAAAAAAAACAAAAACCTGAGGCTCTCCTAACACAAAAACAAATGCACAAAAACAAACAAATCCCAATATATCCATATTCTAAATCCACTGAGGGGTAAGTATAGTTTTCTGCAGATATTATATTTTAATTGCAAAGCTCTAACTTTGTTTAAGCTTGAATATTTTTAAGAAAATTGAAGAAAGGTAAGTTTCAAACACTCTGCTAAACAACCAATTCCCACAACACTGTCAAATTATTTACTAAGACTGTATTACTATTATTATTATTCTCATCCTTCCTAGTACCTGTATCTTCCCGCTTATAACCATGTTGCTTGTATCTTTACAATTTATATTAAATGTAGAATTCTTCTGAAACTTACTCGGATTCGTTGAATGGGCCTAAAACAAAAATTATACTTTAGAATTAAGTATTAGTTCTTGCAATTAACAGAAACCCTATGTTATTGTATAAAGTACATATTGTAGAACTTGGTAAAGAAACAACATACTGTTCTAAACAAATAATATCCGATTACTACAAGACATAAAAAATGCATTCCAATTGGCTTCAGAGAAGCTGGAACAACTTTCCTCTTACAGTTCCTTTTGGTTGAACATAATTTTCTTGTGTTTCATTGAAAGTATGAGACCTATATTGTTTTATAATTGTTTCTTTTATTAAAATATTGATCAAAATATTCATAACTTTAAAATATAGTAATATTGTTGTGCTAATGAATATTTAGCTCTAAATCAATATACATTCACCAGCTGTCATGATCTAAGAGTTAAGGAATTATGTAATAATCCCTTCATACAGAAAATATATGAATTTCAAGCAAGTAGCACAAGATCTTCCCCCCACTTAAGTTTATTTTATATATTTACTCAGAATATATATATAAAGCTATGGGTTTTATTCACTGGTTCATTTCACAGTTGATGGTTTGCACTAGTGGAAACAATATACTTGTGAACATTAATGATCCAATTTTTAATTTAATTTTTAATTTAAAGAACACTGCCTGAATACTAAGGCTAAAGTTAGTATGAGGAATAACATTTTCATGAGGTTGTCAAAGTATACATGGGGGGTGGGGGTGGCTCAGCCATCTACACCACAGATATTGGTTTTGGCCCAGAGGATTTCTGCAGCAGAATATGCTGCTCCAGAATGGAGTACATCCACATGTGAAGCTAGTCGACATCACTGTCAATGAAGCAGTACACACAGTGACAGGATGCCCTAAACCCACCCCAATTGAGAAAATGTATCCTCTTGCTGGTATTGCTCCACCTAGGATTAGGAGAGAAGTAGCAGCAGATGCTGAGAGAACCAAATGAATGATCTCTGACATCCTCTGAATGGATACGTGCCCCAAACTCTTTGACTTAGATCTAGGAAGAGGTTTTATGGCAGGAGCAAAACTCTATTAGAAGATGGAGGACAGTATTCATGGAACAAGAAATAATCTCAAAAGAGAACACGGTTGAGGGATTTGATCTCCTGATGTTACTCGGAAGACATTGAGAGTGGGAGTGCCTAAAAGTAAGACCAACATGCTCAGGTGGGGGTTGATGGCAGATAACAATATGCAGTATGAAAGTGAGGAGAGGCAGAGTCTGGCCCATTTGTTAGTCTGTGATTTACTACCAGTAGAATGCACCAAAAATGATTTGTTTCTGCTCAAAAAGGTAGCCTCATTTTGGAAGTTTAAGGTTTGATCTGGACACAAAATAACGTATTTTTCAGAGTACAAGATGCACCTTCCCCCCCAAAAAGAGGGTAAAAATTTGGGTGTGTCTTATACACTGAATGTAGCCCCACGCACCCATCCTTTGGCCTCTGCCTCCCAGCAATTTGCCTCCTTGCAGCAAACAGCCCGTTTCAGCTTCAGCACAACCTGATTAACACAAGCAGCTGATTGTCGGTTGGATCAGCCTCCCGACCATTAGCTGTTTCAGGCTGCAGGGATTGCCATTGCCTATTGCTGCCTCTGCGGGCCTCCGCTGTTTGCTGTGAGGAGGCAAATTGTTGGAAGGAAGATTTTTTTTCTTCTGCTAATCAGGCTGTGCTGAAAATGAAAATGAACTGAAACAGGCTGTTTGCTGCAAGGAGGCAAATTGCTGGGAGGCAGAGGCAGATTTTTTTTTCTTGTTTTCCTCCACAAAAAAGGTAGGTGTGTCTTATAGTCCGGAGCATTTTATACTCCAAAAAAATATGGGTAAATAAAAATAACTTAGGCCTACTTACTATAATCTCCCCATCCCTTAAGGAAGCATTTCTGTGAAATGTGGGGCACATTTCAAACAGTTCAGGAGAAGATAAAGCCAAATGAAAATTGGTTACCCCTCCTTGTGCAAATTTAGAGAATTTACACTTATAAAGCCAATGCTGGATTCAACGAAATATTCAGATAATTTTAGAAAAATGATTTATATTGTAAAACTGAAATCTACCTGTTAGTTTCTTGATTTTTAAACCCTGAGGCATTTTTGTAAGTTTGCTATATAGAAAAGTGATATTTATCTTAAATTAACACTAAAATAGTGTTGATAAATTATTGAGCTTTCTCAAAATCACAATAATGTACCATTTTGTGAAAAAGTCTACAGGCATTTTCCACTGCAGTTTTTCAAAGGCACTATGCAGGCTTACTCTGTAATTTTACGGTATACCTTTTGAAGAAAGTTTGGCTAGAATACATACACACACAGAGAATTAAAGGCATATACTAACTCACTTAAAAATTTAAATTTACTTTACACTTTAAACCACTACTGTTCCTGTTTGAATCCTGATTTTCATCATCCTTATTCCACCCTTTTTTCATTGGAGTAAGTTCTGGAGCAACCACATCACCATCCTATCAAATAATTAAAAAAAAGGAATTAAGTTTTGCATTTCAGATCAACCGTTAAAATATTTTGTCATCTTCTCTCCTGACAATTGAAATAAATATGTGTACATTTAAGGGATAAAATATTATCAGGCCTGACGTATCCCTGTGCATGGGATAAATCATGATTTTTTAAAAAATTCACAATGATCTTTTTTATTGTTGTTAATGAAAATACCAATTTTATGTAAATAACATTTTAATTTCTAATAAGTTCATTAATATAATTAATATAGCACATGAGCAGGATTTGTGTCTTACCAATGCTTATTGCAGTAGCCCATTAAAAAGTATATAGTAAAGAATTACAAAATTTTCAGGAGGATGGTGTATTATGAGTGTATCCCCATTCACATGTGAACGTCTTACCCGTGGTTTAGTGAAATCCTTATCCATACACCACTGAATAAAATATTTTGTAGCAGCCTCAATTATCTTTGCATCCTTTTTTTTACAATAAACTCTGATGAGCTGCTCTGCAAACTTTTCTGGGAGCAGCTTTGAAACCTTAAAGACAGAAATAATTAAAACGCTTAACTTCAATAACTTTCCTGATCTTTCCCAAGCAGTAAAACAGACCATTCAAAGCCATTATAAAAGGAGCATCCAATACAAGCATGATAGAGCTGGTGTAGAGGATTCACCCTTTATAGCCAAATATCATTACAGATAATCCTTGACTTATGACCAGTTGCTTAGCGATTGTCCAAAGTTACAAAAACCCGCCAAAAGGTACTTTTGACCCGGATTTGAAGTTACAATGGTTGCTCTTCTTCCCAATTACATATATTTTGGGCACTCAGCAACTGGTCCAAATTTACAGTTATTTGCACAATCCTACAATCACCTAACCATGATTTGCATTCCCCCCCACCCCCCCAACAACCAGCATTTGCTTCTGATTTCTGGCAAAAAATGGCCATTGAGGACAAAGGATTCACTTAATTATTTGCATTACAACCACGGGGTTCATGTTACACCTGCTACAAAAAACATTGTAAACTCAGATATGATCTCATGATAACCTCATGATTTCTGAACATAATCCTGGGCTCAATTGTGCTCATAAATCAAGGACTACCTGCAATACAGTGGCTATTTTAAAAACAACACAATAAACTGGCAAAATCAACCACTCCCATTTTTACTTACTTGTTCTCTTGTAATTTTAACTGCCTGAGTGATGTCAGTCTTGCAGTAAAAACGAACACTGTTAATGGGGTTCCTTTTTTTCATTCCATAATCCATATCAATAACCTTTATTTATACGACAAAATCAAAATAAAGCACACTTAACAATTTATATACATACACTCTAAGAAAGCAAAGTAACAAAAGAAAATCTGAGCTTGATTGTTTTCTTGCATGTTTCATTACCCAAACTACCGTATTTTTCGAAGTATAAGACGCACTTCCCCCCCTAAAAGAAGGTGAAAATTTGGGTGTGTCTTATACATCAAACGTAGCCCCGCCCAGCCGCTGTCCCCCACCCTTTGGCCTCTGTCTCCCAGCAATTTACCTCCTTGCAGCAAGCAGCAAACAGCAAACAATCCATTTCAGCTTCAGCACAGCGTGATTAGCACAAGCAGTTGATTGCTGGTTGGATCGGCCTCCCGAACCCCAGCAGTTTCAAGCTGCAAGGATTGCCATTGCCTATTGTCACGCAGGCCTCCACTGTTTGCTTGCAAGGAGGCAAATTGGTGGGAGGCAGATTTTTTTTTCTTGTGCTAATCAGACTGTGCTGAAAATGAAACTAAAACAGGCTGTTTGCTGTAACGAGGCAAATTGCTGGGAGGCAGAGGCAGATTTTTTTTCTTGTTTTCCTCCCCAAAAAAGGTAGGTGCGTTTTATACTCTGAAAAATATGGTAAATAACATCATCACTGCTAATGATCAGTGCTGGCACTGATGATGTTACCTACTTTGGGTAATGAAGCATCTGCAAGAAAAGCAAGCTCAGAGAGCACCAAAGACCCCTCATTTCAACCCTGAGCTACAAATATTCTCCTTTACTGGTAAAACAAAACCAAAAAAGCACCTTACTTACATGAACAATAAAATCTTCAGCCTTCAGCTCCACATCTTCAGAGATTGTCTTAGGTTTGGAATTAACAATTTCAGCACACAATCCATCATAATCTTCCTGGAAGGCATAACATTTTTAATTTTTTTTAACTGGTCAGCAGACAACAGTAATTTCAGAAACTTGATTAACATCTAGAAAAATATCTGAATTGCATGTACCGTATTTTCTGGCGTATAATTTTATTTATTTTATTTATTTTATTTTGAATTTGTATACCGCCCTTCTCCCTGAGGACTCAGGGCAGTGAACATCCAAGTAAAAACATCAAGTACAAATATTAAAATACAATTAAAAGATATATATAATTTTGGCCCCATTAATTAAAAACGATAAACAAAACAATTAAAAACACTTAAAAAATAAGATGACTTTTTAACACATGAAAATCTTCTCAAAAGTTGGGGGTCGTCTTATACGCCGGATGTCGTTCTCCTGTAACCAGGCAGACCAGCCCGAAAGGCTCTGACGAGCCAAGCTCTGACCATCCCAGCTGAGTTGCCTGCTAATCAGGCAACTCAGCTTGGATCGCCAGAGCCATGTAAAAGGAAAGAAGTTTTCCCCCTCCAGCTTGCTTACCTTAGCTGCTAGTCGCAACGCTTGCCTTGCTTCGCTTGCCTGAATCCATTCCATCAGCAAGCAACTCTCTGCCTGCAATCAAGCAGGCATGGAGTTCTGGACTTCAACTCCCAGAATTCCTCAGCCAGCAAAGCAAAGCTGGCGGAGGAATTCTGGGAGTTGAAGTCTACAAGTCTTAAAGTTGCCAAGGTTGGAGACCCCTGTTCTATTGGGTAAGTTTTTTCCCCCTTTGGGAGCTTTAAAAAAATAGTTAATTGGGTTTTTTTTTAGTTATTCTTTTTTAGACCTAGCCATTTAAAGTTTAGGAAGTTTTAAATTTAGCTTTCATATAAAAATAAAAATAAAATAAAATAAAATAATATTTGTGCAGTTTTCTGAGATTTAGTGTGTTTCTGTAGTGTTTCACTCTAACTACACAAACACACAAAATCTCACAAAGCTGTATGTGGAATTTTGTGTGTGTAAAGTGTGAAAGTTGTTTTTTGGGGCTTTTTGGGGCTGTGTGAGGTTCCTGTTTGTTGCAGGGGCCATTTTGGGTCTAGCACAGCTGCTTTTACATTGTGGGTGAGCCAGTTGATGTTTTTTAATTTTTCTTTGGTGTGCGTTGGAAGAGGGGTAGTCTTATATGGCGAGTATAGCTCAAACCCTATATTTTAACAGGAAAAGTCGGGGGTCATCTTATACGCCGTCGCCTTATACGCTGGAAAATACGGTAACATTTACTGCAACAAATAAAGAATTTCTATAATAGTGTATCTATAGTCTACTGATATCATCTATGCATCTGAATATATATATATATATTTATATAATTTTCAAAACAGTAATTGCATCAAAAGCCATCTGTATTGGCAAGAGCATTCTGAACTCTTCAGGTGAACTGAAGTTGGGACTGAAGTTAATCTCCATTACAAAGAGAAGGCAAATATAGGTTGGTATATTTTAGTATTTGTTATTTCATGATAAAAGCTTATGATAACATTTTCCTGAAAATATACAGTATGTAACTGAAATATGGATTAAACAAAAAGTATGGCTCATATGGTCTAGCAGCCTCTAAGATACCTGCAGTATTAAGATGCAGCACTCTTATGAATGAAAAGCAACGATTTAATTTTACAAAAGGAAAAATAAGAATATTACATATACAGTATATCTGAACTACAGAATGAAGAATTGGAAAATCCACAATCTAATGTATAATTAAGAAACATGAAACATAATTATTAAATATAAAATGAATTTACTGGAAAATTCATTTTTGAAATAAAGGGTTTTGATTTTTTTTGAGTTTACTAAAAGGTACCATATACACTTGAGTATAAGCCGACCCGAATATAAACCGAGGCACCTAATTTTACCACAAAAAACTGGGAAAACTTATAGACTCAAGTATAAGCCTAGGGCAGGAAATGCAGCAGCTACTGGTAAATTTCAAAAATAAAATATAGCAGACTAAGTACTGTAAATAAACATACTGTATATCCAAGACCATCCCTGTCACGGCTCCAACGGCGGCAGCTTCCGGAAATGCTGGCGGCACGGAGGCGCAGGCGAAGGCTGGGATGGGGGTGCAACATACGGGAGGCCCCCCGCAGTTCCTCAGCTTGTCTGGGCTGTAGCTGATTGAGGTGCTTTAGCAGCAATGAGCTGCGCTTTCCTCCAAGTCCCACAGAGAGAAGCATCTGTTTCCTTCTGCCGCCCACAGCACTTAGAGGAAAGCACAGCTCATGGCTGCTACCGGGCTGTCCCAGTCCCTATCGCGGCTCCAATGGTGGTGGCTTTGGGAGATGCTGGTGGCACGGAGGCACAGGCAAAGGCTGGGAGGAGGGTACAACACGTGGAGGGCCAAGTCCGCTCCCTTTCACCTCCCCACACTTGTTTACCTGTCCCAGAGAGCTTGGGCTAGGCCTCCCTTCGACCCAGCCGCCTTCCTTGCTGACATCGCTCCTGAGCGAACTCTTCCGTCTTCGGCTGTTGTGAAGAAGCGGCAGCTCTGGGTGCGCCACGCCCGCTTTGTTCTCCTTGAGAACCACTTTGCACCTTGTTTGCAAAGTGGCTCTCAAAGAGAAAGAAGCGGGCATAGCGCACCCAGAGCTACCGCTTCTTCACAACAGCTGAAGACCTCTTCCGCTTGGAGCTCCAAGCTGTGGGGGGGGGGGGGCGGCTGCAACACCAGCAGCTTCAGTGGGCTCCTTCCCTCAGTTTGTTTTCTTTTACCTCGTCTAGGCAACTTTGTCATTAAAGGCTGCTCCGCATCTTTTGATCTTTCTTGGGAGTGGAGAAAAGCGACCCTGTGTGAAGGGACTGAACCTGCTGCTCTCGAGTATAAGCCAAGGGGTGCTTTTTCAGCATAAAAAATGTGCTGAAAAACTCGGGCTTATACATGAGTATATATGGTAAGTATGGAATATATACCTTTTGAGAGCATGTGTGCCTGCACAGCAATTTAATTCTACTGCTAGTTCCAATAGAAGTTACTGTATGTCTTGTATGTATACATGCAAATGGAAATTGCAGTCATGCAAGCTTCCTATATGAGCTGCTTTATTGTTTCATGAGATGTATAATTTGGGCCAATTCACTTTACAAATTATCACTTTTAAATACTTTGCAAAACTTAAGTATGAGTAATAAACTATACTATATAAGTTGTAAACATATAGCAATTTTTATCTTTTTTTTGCAAACAATTAAAGAAAACAGCTCCAAGTCAATGTATCCAAAAGAGAAAATTTAAAGGTGCTAGTAGAACGAATATAGATGAGCAACTGTTTTAGTGAGTTTTTATGTAGTTTATATTCTTGATTGGGAGCTACCCAGAGTTTGGTATAAGATGGGAAATTATAAAAATGTTTTAAATAAAATACTTACATGTATACATATACATGTACCATTTTGAACCATTACATCAGAAGTAGCAGTGCACTAGTTCCAACAACATTTTTAGATGCCCTCAGTCAACATTCCCTATTTTTAATGATCGAAATATCAAAATATTGCCAAACTTTATGAATCTTATGAGAGATTTATATTTAGAAAATATAAGAGAAGATATAGAAAATGATTGTTCAATTATTATAGCTAAATGAGTTCATACAATGAAGTGATTTAACCAGTGCAAATTGTCTCAACCTTTTTAATTTCCTTGCCCTCTGGTGGCTGCGTTTCTCCCAAGCATTTAAAGAGATCGCGCTGCTGTATTTTACACAGAATTTCGCGTGCATCACTCAGCTCTGGTTCATCAGAATGTAGAATCTTCAAAAAGATTTCATCTGCCAGAAAGCATTATATAAATAGTTATTCTCACATATATTTTGTTAAAGATTTCAGTAATAAACAATAATGCAAACTAAAAGAAAGAAAAGAGAATAGAAAGAACAAAATGTGAAAAAAAAAATAAAGAAAGCAAAACGGAATAAAGAAGTGACTTCCAACCTCCATTACAAGTATAGACAAATTTAGTAACTCTTCACATCTTACATGGCAACAAATAGATAGCTCTTCATCCCATATCCCATCACTTATCTATAAGCAAATCCATAAAACATCAACTTTTCAATCTTGGTGTCAGCAAAGAGTCTGTAAAGGGTTGCCAGAACTTTGTAACAAAGTTTTATTTTAACCTTGATCAAGTAAACCAACCTGTGGTTTACTCACCAGTTCTTCGGTCTTTGCTACAATCATCAGCTCTTCTTTAATGCCTTCATAATTAAAGCTAGCTATAAATATTCTTATATCCATGAAAAAATATAAGACATCTTTTTCCAAGTCTAAAATGGGAACCAGTAACCTCCCAAGGAACAGAAATGCTTGTTCTATTCATGACTTTTAATCCAACTGAAGAATCTCACTGATAAAAATGGGGGAACAACAGGGTAAGATCTTTTTTCTCATTCTCTAATTCCACAAACCCTTCTGAACGGTGGATTACATAATTGGAGTACCCTGCAGAAAGACCTGAGTTTTTGAAAGGGTTTGCAGTTTCGGTGGAAACACGGTTACAGTATTATAGCACCTTGCTACAAAACTGAAACCTGAGAAAAATATTTCTCATACTTAATGTGATAAGAATTTCTGGAGAATCCACACATTCACCTGTCAGCTTGGTGTAGGCTTGCATGTCTTCCAGTGCTGTAGAGATCTGGAACACTTTTCCACCTGAGCCCTTTATTTTGATATGTGGATCAGCCTTTAGAAAGGCATCAGTAATCCTAATATGAAATAGATGATACAAATTGGCAATTACTAAAAACTGTATTTCCAAAAACTATATACTTAATTATACTTAATTAATTATACTTATAAACAATATTTGCCTTTTTCAATGAAATCTACTTTGACAATGATTAAGAGAGAAAGGAAAGGGTATGTTCAATTGAGCTATATTAGCAGAGAAAAAGATAATTGGCTAGATTAATTTATTAAAAATGTTTTGAGAAATCAATGACACTTCTAAGTATATTAACTGTACACAACTTATTTATAAAAAGTACAGCTAAACGTCAAACGTTATCGAAGCAGCATTTCCCTCCCTAATCATGTAAACCTCTTCAAATAACATCTTATTCATTGCAAATGTATGCAGATTTAAAACTATTAAAATGCATATTTTTATAAGGATTGATATAATCAATAACTTCCACAGAGTAGATCCTTTCAAACTTACATGGTTTCAATAATGTTGCTAACTTTATGCTGATATGCTCTGCGGTGCAGACAGTTTCGTGTGTGGAACATGTCATATAAATTTCCAACCTCCTTTTAAATATAAAACATATTATTAATCTGTTAATATAACTATAGTTGCAAAACAATACAGCATTGAGGGTAGTATTAACCAACTAATTAACAAAACCGTCCACTTGCAAAATCTCTGACTAATTTTAATGGTTAGTAATAATACTCTCTCCAAATGCTTGTTTCTAGATATCCAGAAATGAATTCTGATGACTCTTTTGAAGAAATAGGGGACATTTCTAGAACATTTATTATGAATAAAATATTTACTATGCAATGCTATATATCAACAGTTTATATTGGTCATCCCATTCATGGCTTCTCATAAGCAAGACTCACTAAGTCTAAAGAGGATCATTCCCAGCTAAGTGTTTATTATTGCAATCTTATTGTATCAATTTTACTATGGATCCTCATATTGGTTTTTCTAAATAGTAATAATGTTTTTTTTAAACTGCTCTTGAACACAGCAATACATTGACTGTTGCAAAAAAAATTGTATGAGAGTTGTATAAAGATAAAATTATTTTAATCAGTAAAAAATTCTCCAACAGTTATTTTTGCAATCAACATGTTGTAAGCAGGCTGAAATAAGGAAATGCTGCAGAACTGGATAGTGAAACCATAGAAATATTAAAATAGGGTTTGCTCTGCTGATCAGGGGGAGAAATGAAAGAAATGCAGAAAGTAACAACTTGAATTTGAATTTCAAGTGATCTACTAGTTAGCTGGGGGATTAAGAAAATATTTTACAAAGTTAAATCTGAGTTTTTTTGCCCAAATATGAGGAAAGAGAAATTATGAAATTCCTTTGGGTTGAGGAGATTTCATGCCTGAGGAATTACGCTCAATCTGAAAAAGTTTAGGAGAATGGGACCCAGAGGGTGAACTTGGCGTATTTAATTTCGCTGCATAGAGCTTTAAAATGTTTGGTGCTGCATACTTGAACTTGGGTGATTTTATTTCTGCTCCAATCCCATGACACATTTAATTGTAACCCTTAATGTTTAATTTTTATTATGTTCAGAGGTTCCTTCCCCCAAGGGGGAGAGAGAGAAAGAGAGAAAGAGAGAAGGGGAGAGGGAGGGAAAGAGAGAGGGAGGGAGGGAAAGAGAGAGGGAGGGAAAGAGAGAAATGATATTACAAACATTTTTCTTTTTTATTGTTGCTAAATGTAATATTTCAAAAGCAGAAAAAAATGAAGGGGCATAAAAGTGCATTTATCACATTTTTCTTAGAACATTAGCTGAACTCTGCCTTCTTTATCTTTATTTTAAGTAGTAAAACCTCATTATTCAGGTTAAATTGCTGTGTTGGCACCTTGTAATAAATAAGTGGGTTTTGGGTTGCAGTTTGGGCACTCGATCTCTAAAAGATTCGCCATCACTGGCCTAGGCATTCCTTCCCTTCAAAGAGAATTTTCAAGATTCAGGTGAAATAAAAGAGGCCATGGGGACACTTCTGACCCTTATTTGTGCTTTGATAGTGATGAGCATGGCACTATATCTACAAAAATTGAATAAACAAATAAATAAATAAGCCATCCAGAGTCACCTTAAAACAAGATGGGCAGCAAACAAATCTAATAAATAAAAGTTAGAGATTACATAAAAAGGCATCTTGCCCTGACTCTTACTATTCTGCTCTTTAAATTAAGGCTTTCACTGCAACTCTTTCATCATTCAGTAAACTCACTAACTTTGGTAAACAAAGAATTAGCTTTCTAATCTTTGGAAGTCAGAATTTAGACTTCTAAGAAATCCATTTTGAAATCTCTCTATTCTCATAAACAAGAACTATAACCTTATCTTATTCCTGCAGTGTGTACCCTAACTGATACTTTCGTGAAATATACAAAATACACAATCTGTCCAAGGGAATTTACCTTGTCACGGGTACAAATATGCATCATATCTTTCACTTGGCACACCCGAGCAAATTTAATGAAGCGCTCATAGTCAAAATTGTTTTGAATTCCAAGATGATGACAATCCCTGAGTATATTCCAAAAAGACAAATAAGACCATTCAATTATATTCTGGATGGGGAGAAACAAGCTCAGACTCAACCCCTCCAAGACCGAGTGGCTGTGGCTTCCGGCATCCCGGTATAGTCAGCTGGTACCATCACTGACAATAGGGGATGAGATCTTGCTCCCCACAGAGAGGGCCCGCAACTTGGGTGTCCTCCTGGATTCACGGTTATCTTTAGAAGATCATTTGACGGCCGTGGCCAGGGGTGCCTTTTATCAGGTTTGCCTGATCCGCCAGTTGCGTCCCTTTCTGGATCGGGACGCCTTGCGCACGGTCACTCATGCCCTAGTTATCTCCCGTATGGACTACTGTAATGCTCTCTACATGGGGCTCCCCTTGAAAAGCACCCGGAGGCTCCAACTGGTCCAGAACGTAGCCGCGCGGGTGATTATGGGCGCAGCTCGTTACGCCCATGTAACACCTCTCCTACGCGAGCTGCACTGGCTCCCGGTGGTCTTCCGGGTGCGATTCAAGGTGTTAGTTATCACCTTTAAAGCGCTCCATGGCTTAGGACCTGGGTACCTACGAGACCGTCTTTTGCCACCAATAGCCTCCCACCGACCAGTCCATTCTCACAGGGAGGGACTACTCAGGGTACCGTCAGTCAAATTATGTCGCCTGGCGACTCCCAGGGGGAGGGCCTTCTCTGTGGGGGCTCCAACCCTTTGGAATGAACTGCCCCCGGAGATACGGAATATCCCTGATCTCCGTGCTTTCCGCCGTGCCCTCAAGACCCTGATGTTCCAACAGGCGGCGCTAAACATACGAACATGTGAATGATTTTTTAAATGTTATCTAATTCTGGGTTTTATTTAATTGACCAAACTAAGTAACAATTTTAATTAGCAATTTTATGATGTTTGTGTGTCTATATTTTTCTTGACTGTACACCGCCTTGAGTCCTACGGGAGAAAGGCGGTATAGAAATATAATAAATAAATAAATAAATAAATAAATAAATAAATATTTAAATTAAGTTTGCATGTGAATATATTTACAATGATTCTAATAAAGATTATTGCACACAAATTAATGTACAGTACTGATTTAAAATATTATTTATGGAAAGTAAAACAGTAGCAAAATTATTAAACCAAAACGGACAATGAACATGAAATAGATCAGAAATTTCAACATTCTACAGCGATCAACATTTTTAATGTTCATTTATTTGATTTTCCTAAGCAGTTTCCCATGATATTAAACAATTCATAGAAGTTGGAATTTCAAATATAAAATAATAATCTATCTATCTATCTATCTATCTATCTATCTATCTATCTATCTATCTATCTATCTACACACACACACTTAATTTTAAAGTCTTAACTATCATCTGACCAACATTCTTTCTCATTTTCCACCATATTTTCTCTACTATGAATTACAGATCCACAAGTCTCATTTCACTGAGAAAAACATCAACTGTAGACTGGTCAAGGTGCTTATTTTTACTCAGCTTCCTGTACAGCTTTTTGATATATTATTCTGCAGAATCAATAGGGATAGTGCTAAGTCAAGATATTGTAGAGGTGGAATGAAAATAATTGAAAATTGGCATTTCTACTAATAGCAACCTACTTTATACAGAACTAAATTTGATACCAACCTATTGGTTTATTGAAGACTTAACAAAGTGATACAATTAATAGCTTAATTTCTTCATTTATTTATTAAAATATATGATATAGCTTGACGTAAGAGTGAGCTAAAATCTACCCATTTCTTCCTTGCTTTTTATATATATGAATATAATTTGATGTTTTCTGAAGGGATACCACCATACATTATTTATCAAGAAGGCTAATAATCTAAAATAATACATAATAATACAAATAGCATAAAAACAATTAAAACCACATAAAACTGAAGGAGTCTAACTGCAAAGAAAAACACATTCCTGTTCTTTAAAAATGGGGAAAAAATACTTTGTTGAAGGCGTTGTAGGCAAAACTCTTTCAATATTGCTTATAAAAATGTTTTCAAGACTAGTAAATAGTAAAGTTTTCATACCTAGCAAAGTAGTCCCATTTATCAACATCAATGCCACTTGTTTTGTTAGCCACTATTTCATAAAGAAAACTCTTGTTTTTGGAACGACCATGATAGGGCCACTGTATGAGGAGGACAAAAATGTAAGCAAATACTATCTTCTAATCAATATTTATACCTATTTCATGGTGAACAATCAAACCAAGATTTTTAAGCAGTAACTTTCCAAAGTTTTGCAAATGCTGCAGCAGAATAGTTTCTATAATCTGTATTCTAATCATAAAGAATTAAAAAGCGGACAGTTCCAGTCCGGCTCATGACAGCAGGGCGTGGGGGCTGAGGCAGCAGCAGTGATGGGAGAAGGGTGGCAGCAGGAGGCAGGACAGTGGTGCAGTGTTAGCATTGGGGGCAGGGCATCAGTGCAACATTGGGGATGGACAGCAGGGGGCAGAGCATCAGTGACTGTCCACAACAGTCCCTCTTTTTTACGTGGCCCCTTGGGAAAATTAATTGCCCACCCCTGTTATAGATTTTTTTTTTTTTTTAATTTGATTTATATGCCGCCCTTCTCCGAAGACTCAGGGCGGCTTACAATGTGCTCAGCAATAGCCTTCATCCTTTTGTATATTTATACAAAGTCAGCTTATTGCCCCCACAAACTGGGTCCTCATTTCACCAGATGTATTCCATAATTATTCCCATTGCTGTATTATGTCTGGTTTTTAAAATGTTTCACATCTTTTTTTAACATGCAATGTTTTATTTGTTCTGCTCCATGTCATATCTGAGTAAGAGTTTATATATGGGCCCTAGTGGGTGTCTTAATTCTGCATGACATTTCAAAATTTTCTTAGAAACTCTCCCTCCTTTTTGAGTTCAGTTTTTAATTTTACAGCAATGTTTAAAGTAATACATATTTTTTTTATTTGAACAGAATTGGGGGAAAAACATTTATACATCTATTTTAATGATGGTTCTCAACATGTCAGCAAGCAGCACCTCCCACCCTCAGAAATGTCAGGACTAAACCTGGGCCTTTCTGGGTGCAACAGTTTGCTCTGCTATTGAACTCCTGCAATTTATAAATAAGTAAATAACAAAAAGTAATGACCTTGCTTTTTGCCCCTTTCCTCTTTTGATCCCAGTTCATTCTAGTGAACAACATTTCACAACATTTATCTAAATGCACAACATTTAGATAAGATCCAGGGAAATGAAAAAAATGGAACTCACCTCTTTGTCCCCCCTTTCCTCCTCAACAGGACTTGCTATCTGTTCTTTGATAAAATGTATGTCTTCATCAAGCTTGAGACCATACTGTTCCATGTCTGGTTTTAAGTTATTGGAATCAATTAAGTGTTCAAACATCTGAACGGAAGCCTGCTCATGCTGTAAATATAGATAGAGAGATGGATAAATGTTAAATCACCTTTTTAAAAAAGTATGGCATACATAGCCAGGGAAGTCTACAATGCTTTTTAATTCTGGCAGCTTACGATTACTACTTCATTTTGTTCACGCATGTGCGCTATCCATGGGTACACCACAAGGGGTGAACCCCAGCTGGCTAGCAGCGTTCAGGGAATATCGGGTCATCTAGGCTTTCTTCCACTGACTTTGCCTCACAACTGGGCAGGTCTGGCGCTGGTTCCCACTTCCACAAGTAATGCTGCTAGCTTTTCCCACTGGAGTGATTTCTATTTATCTACTGGCATTCTTTTTCATTCTCTTTCAAACTGCTAGGTGGGCAGGAGCTAGAGGCAAATGATGGGAGCTCACTCTGTCATGTGGTGTCATGGGTTTGAACAGCCAGAGTGATGACCATCTCTGGCTGATATATCCAGGGTTATTAAGCTGCTGCGCCACCGTGCTCCCTTATGTTAATCACAATATAAACTATCAATCAATCCAGCATAATTGATATTTATGGTTGCACATGAAAAAAAGCTAAAAACCCTTGTTTAAAATCTTCACAATGATTTAAATTTGGTTTAAATTTGGCTTATGAATCCCAGCTACTGAGATAATATGTCATAGTTTTAAGTTTGTATGTATTACAAATAGTATTTACAGTTACTGCAGTTATTGTTGCTTTTCTATCCATTCATGGAATAAGCAGAATAAGACATTTGTTCATACAGATAGTTGTCGACTTACGACAGACCGCTTTTGATCAGAGTTGACTTTTGCTGTCTTCAAAAGAGTGACTTTTCACTTTCAGAAACAGAAGGAAAGACAAAGACACTCTTATGAAGACCGCAAAATCCATATTCTTGACAGAGAGAAACACTGGTTTGAAAGAGGAATCAAAGAGGCCATCTATATTAAAAATTAAAAGCCCCCTCTCAACAGAGAGGGAGGGATGACACCACTTATCTCCTGTCTACAACACAGTCCTTTCAGCAGTCCCAAGAAGATTCCACACCGATTTGCATTCCGATTCAGGTGACTCTGAGGATACAGATAAACCCCCAACTGACCTCAAGGACTCTCAGAGAGCTAATGATCTATTCTCAGAGTGCTAATGACCAGATAACTGCAAAGAATATATATCCTTCCATTCCCCACCATTCAGTCAGAACTGAAGAAGCTTTTTGGATAAGAAGTGAAATGCTTTTAAGGAAAAAAACCCTCCAGGAAGTCCAGTTGCCTTTTGGAAAAGCACTTTTGGGACAACCATGACCTGGATGATTGAGAAGCTCCATGAGCATGTCTCACTTACAATACATATAAATTTAATAAATAAAATAATATCCACCTTCCATGTCAATCCTGGGCGAGCAAGTGGAATGAATCTTCCATCAAACATATGTGAAAATGGTCCATGGCCTAAAAGTAAAGATTATACAATTAAACTTTGGCAGAGTTAAGATATATTTGTATGTTTTTAAATGCTTACAGATATACTCAGATACACAGACAAATGTTCCTCAAATTATGGTATTGCTAAATCTATTACAGCCGAAGTATTCACTTATTGTTTATTGAACCTGAGTTGGTCATTTTTTAATCCCCCCCCCTCTCTCTCTGATTAACAATTATACTAGAATTTTAGCCCCAAACTGGGCTAAACAAAATAAATTATTTGGGACTGAAAAGCTCCAATCAGCAACAGCAGAAATATACTCCTATAGATGTTATACTTGAGAGGATTAGCCTTGTGACCTTCTATCTCTCTCATAGGATTTGGAATGGACTGTCACCCTGCCTAGATTACTTCTATGTGCCCCCTGTCACATTCCATTGGTTGACAAACATTCAATTAACACATCTCTACAGCAGGTAAGAGTCAAAATAATGAATTCTAGTTGAGGCATTTCATAATTAAATTGACTTTTGTAATCCCTTTGTACCACCTTAGACACTTTAAGCTCAGCAACTACATTTTAAATACTGACACAGTTTATATCAAATTAGTATCTATTTATTCTTTTGTATAGAAATTGGCTCACCTGTCTCATGTTTAATGCAATATTTTACAATTCTACCCTACTCCTTTTCCAGAAGTATGAAATCTGTATTTTTCTATCTCAGGGCTACATTTGATCAAGTTAATGCAGAAGTTAACATCGTTGTTAAAACTGTCACAAGAAATAGTTTGGAATGGTATAATATGTTTATAAACATAATACTTATTAACAAAGAACTTGCTTACCCAAGTCATGACAAAGTCCAGCAATTTGAACACAGAGAATATCCCTCTGATCAATATTCAATTCAGGTTGTCGTTCTTGCAATGCCTGCACCAAACGGCCTGCGAGATGACTAACGCTTTTCCAAAAAGGGAAGAAATTAAATTTTCTATGTCTTGATTTATAAACAAAACGGGAATTTAAATTATTAATGCAATGCAATTATGAACTGGGCTATAAGGCTTATTTAAATTCTGAATTTCAATATTATATAGTAGAGAATGTTTCATGTTACTGATCTTTGTTTTGAACAAAATGAAATGCGAAATTTAATGTGAAACAAGAAAGAATATTTTTTTTTTCATTTTTAAAGGAAGAAAATAATATATGCATATTCTTGCCTGTATTTTACAGTATATACACTATGTAGAGGCCAGTTTTCTTTAGCTCAAGCAGAAATTCAGAAAAGTATTCCTCTTTCTCCTGTTTATTTTTTGCATGGAACATGGAAACCCTACAATATAGAGATTCACTCTACACAAAGCCCAGTTTTACCAATGGTATTCAACATAATAAAATGCATTATATTCAAGATACTGGCTACATAAACCAAGTAGTCTTTCTTTTCATCTACAATTATTAGTGGTGATTCCCAAAGTTTAAGAAAAAATATTATGTATTGTAAATTTTAAGTGTATCTAAATATGCGGCATCATAAAGCAAATTTTAAGTATAAAAATCTCCCTCAATGAAAAACATATAGCAGGAACTGGCTGTTTTAAAAAATTCAGTAGAATCATTTTACTTATACAAAAGCAAGTAACAGTACTCCTTACCCAAGAGAATGTTCAAAGCGATTGTGTGATGCTCCTGGGAAAACATAGTAAGTGCCACCCAACTGTTTAATATATCGTAGACGCTGAAATTGAGGTGTGTCAATGATGCGAACAAGAAGAGGATGCATTTCAATATGACCATGGATTGGATCATTAAATACCTGGAAAAAGCAAAACAAAATTTTAAAATATCAGTTAATCTATGATGAATAATATTTTGATCAAGAATAAACATTGTCTTTTCTAATTCTAAAAAATTAAGATAAACACAGGATAATGAAAAGCCTGACTCACAAATAATGAAAAGCCCAAACTGGGACAAATTAACCATACATAAACAAAAAACAAAAGTTGAAAACCCTAGGCCAGGGGTCAGCAACCTACAGCTCTGGAGCCACATGTGGCTCTTTGGGCCCTCTGCTGTGGCTCCCTGTCGGGTGATCCCACCACTGGCTGGCCCCGCCCCTTGCCCTCCCCTCCCAGTCACTCCTCGCCTGGCCTGAGAAGGTAAGGGCAACGGCGGGGGATGGAGAAGCGGCCAGGGCAGACACGGACAGATACAGAGAGAGAGAGGGGAGACACACACACACACACACACACACACACACATATATAGAGAGAGAAAGAGGGAGAGAGGAGGGAGAGAGGGAGGGAGGGGAGAGAAAGATATGTCAAAAGGATTTTGTGGTTCCCGGTGTTTTTTAACAACTGGTTCTCTGTCCTAATGACCGGCTAGGTAGGCATGGCTGGGGGGGGGGGTGTCATGTGACCGGTGGAAGAGAGTGACATCAAGTTGGCCATGCCCACCCAGGTTTTGTGGCTCCCAGTGTTTTTTTTTTCCTGTGGGAAACGGGTCCAAATGGCTCTTTGAGTATTTAAGGTTGCAGACCCCTGCCCTAGGCTAATGATTTAAATACTTGCTACTATCTTTTTTCTGCCATTCCCAGAACTACTATAGAAGGTTACTCTCTTACCATCTTCAGCAGATTTGGGGCAAATAAAGTCTGCAGAGAAAGGACGATTTTTTTAAAAAGTTATCTGTTCCAAAAATATTATGAAAGTTCTTATGGAATGGATGGACCCTGTTGTTGTTATTTTTTAAAAGCAGGGAATTTTAACTTTCCAGATTCCCAGTTTTATCAATCGGCTAATCTAAGCTTCCATTTCTTTATATAATTTAAGTAATTCTCAAAATAATATGGTCATACTTAGAAAGTTAATGTTTGTCCCCATTCGTATCCTGCCAAGAACTTGCTTCCGATTTTACACAAAAAATCTGTTGCCCCACTTTCTTGTGTTAGCGGTCACAAGACATATTTGGATGCTGCTGGGAAAGCTTAAACCAGGTCTCAATTATGAGGAGAAGTTGACACTTTAACATAACTCTAGTTTGAGTAATAAGTGCTTATTTTCCTGCAATAATCTTCCCTGTGTTCAAAGTTACATATATGATTAAATACCTGATTTTCTGCTTAACTTTGTTCTGGTTATATAGGATTTTTTGCTTTGTTTATTGTAACAATTGATTTATTATGTGCTATCAGGTCAATGTTGACTTTTAGTGACCATATATTTTTTCCAAGGCACTCTGTCTTCAGCTTAGTCCTTTAAGTCTTCCAATGGTAAACTCTTGCCGCTGGTCATCTTTCTTTCCTTTTTCTTTCCATCCTTCCCAGCATTGTAGAGAGAGAGCTAGGTCCTCCCATAACGTGTCTGAAGCATGACTTAAATCTGATCATTTGTGTCTCAAATGAGTACTCTGGGTTGATTTCTTTGATAACCCATTTGTAGGGTTATCATGTATAAAGTAGGAGGCTATATGTTTTCCAAGCAAATATATCAAATTAATGAAATAACTACTTGTTATGCTAGTTGTTAGACTACACTAAATTAAATGTTCAAGTGCACACAGAAGCATAGAAAAAATTAGCATATCCAGTTGATGAACATCCGTGAAAGACAATTTCAACATTTATTTTTATCATTTTAAGATTACAGTTAAATTAACAAAAAGTATATATATTTTTGTGCTGGAATCCATATAACCTTTCAGAAAGAATGTAATGGGGATTCAGCTAAATATTGGAGATGTGTAATTCAAAATACATCATTGGTTCATATGATCCCATCCCGTTCATGTCAGATTAAAAGTTAAAAAGATTAGCTGGTAAAATCACTGTTGCCTGGGGAATGCCCAGTTGGGGGCCCTTTCATGTCCCCGTTAATGTGCCAACCGAACTGGTACCTATCTATCTATTCACAATTGCTCACTTTCAAACTACTAGGTTGGCTGGAGGTGAAATGACACAACAGCACTCGGGTCTCAAACTAATCGTCAACCCAGAGTCCTAAGCACCAAGTCCTGTGGTTCATATGATATGGCCTTTTGTTATTGTGACTTCCTTTTAAACAACTGTTATTTCACTTATTAATTTTGTTTTAAAGTTCATTGAATTTTATAGACACTAATGTTTTGAATTATATAAAAATGATTTGGAAATTAATGGAGGACAGAAAAAAGACCAGGTGTTTTAACAATTGTAAAACGACATCTAAACAAACATGAAAATGAAAGCATGTCTATTCTCTACCACTTATACAATGTCTAAAGACTTCAGTTATATTCTAACAAGCATTTTATGGCCAGGAGAGCCAATTCCAGGTCTATTAAATTAGAAATTTGGACTGAATTGTAGCTTGTTTCCCAACGGTAAATAAACTGATTTAAGTATTAAAATAATATAGCATTACAGCAAGACTAATTTTGTTTGGTACATTCCTTTTTCAACATAAATAAGAAAGTGTTTGTTCACCTTTGTTATTTCAGTGTAACTTTGACTTTGTGCCAGTTTGCGCACACAGATTAGCAGCTTCTGTTTCACTCCTACAGCACTGAAAATGAAGCATATAATATGACTTAAATAATAATTCAATATTTTATTTAGTAATGAAATTAATATGGAAGCTAAATTAACTGCTACTAAAGACATGAATTTTTACAGAAGTTTTTAGCAAAATACCTTCTGCCAGAAAGCGATGTTGATAAAGCACTCGTTTTTAAAGGATAACGTCATGAAGAAAAAATACATTTATTCCTATTCTAAAAGAAATGTTAAATTTACATTTCCACATTAATTTTATTTATAAGAACATATACATATTTCATTTTCTCTTTTTACTCTGAGCAATGTTCTGCACAGTGTAACTATAAAATGGTATGCATACTATATCCTCATTTGCATTCTGCAAGCAAAGCAGTATCCATTGTTGGGATGCTATGTGGCAGTGTTGATTCAAAGATGTATGGCACCCCTAAACCACAATGACAAAAGCAAGAGACCTTTGGCAGAAGTCAAAAGCTTCTTAGTGTGACTTGGTGCTGACTCTCCAAGGGAAACAGGCAAGTCCCTCAGAGCAAGTCTCTAAGAGACTCAGAGAGGCTGAAAAGACCCGCACAACTTTGATTGGGTAACAATTCTTATCACAAAGGATACAGAAATAAGTATCCTTTTTGAAATAAGAAATAAGGTTACAGGGGTCAAGGGAAACAAACAACAGGGTGCAGGAAACAGAAACGGGATGTATAATTAGAAAATATAGAGGAACACAGTAAGAATATAAATAGCATTAAAAGGACAAAACAAAATAAGATAATAAGATTATAAAAATATAAAGTTATTTAAAAATAAGACATTACTAGCAATAAAAGGTCACACAATGCTGTATCATCAGGGATAAACTTTATTTTGTTATTCACCAACAAAAGTTACTTATGGTATATCTTTGTTATAATAAAAACTTTTTTGTTCAAAAGACAGATGCGAGTGTATTGTCTGAGTTTGTAATATCCATGAAATTATACAGCATGTACCAGAGAAACTTGTCACAATGTATACAGTGGTACTCCAGATTTGTCATTTTGGATAAATGATTTGTGAATTAGCTCTCTATCAACACAATGGGAAGACAAATTTATATTTTGTGGGGGGCAGGGTATAAGCAAAGTTTAAAAATAGAGGTTGTTAAATGTTTGGTATGTATTATGTTTGTTTATTTTTTCCTGTATTTTTCCTTTTTTATATCTTCCATTTTTTCTGTGTACCAAAGCAATATAAAAGAATCTTCCTAAAAAACAGCATCTGAAAATGAAAGTCACTTAAATATATTATAGTATTTAGGCAAACAACAACAACCAAAGGGCTATGCAAGTACAGAAGACATAACATTCTTATAATTTCAATTTGAATAGATAAAAAAGTTGCTTACCAAATTCCCATTTTTTCAAGATGAGATTCAGTGAGATATGGTACAGTTGAACCAGTTATTTTATGTTCTAGGGAGTTAAATACATAAATGTTAACATTTCTTTCTGAAATTGTCACTTTGAAATTATTTGGCAGGTTACAATTAATCTGAATACAGGAGTACAATTCATGAATAATATATACATTAATAAACCTGAAAGAGAAGCCATGAAAATATAGTGTATGAAGAGGCTACTAATCAGTGGTGAAATCTAAATTTTTTTCCTACCGGTTCTGTGGGCATGGCTTGGTGGGCGGGGTTTGGTGGGCGGGTCATGTGACTGGGTGGGCATGGCTATGTAACCATGTGACTGGGGGATCAAATGATAGAAACTCACTAAGAATGTCCTGTTGGAGTAGGGTTGAACTAGATCAGGGGTCTCCAACCTTTTGGACCTCAGGGACCACCAAACTCATAATTTTAAATCCCGTGGACCACTGGGGAGGGAGGCTCAGCTGCCTTTCGGGCCTACTTGTCTGCTTATGTGAGGCCTTCAGGTGGGAGGCCCGAGAGAAAGTGCTTGCTCCAGGCACACAGCCTGGAAACCTCTTTTGTGTTTCTTCTCTCAAGAAGCTTGGTCAATCTAAGTGAAGGAAAACGAAGACAGGCAGACTGACGGTGGCTTGCTGATGTTGGTGGGAAAGTCTCCCCTGCAGGCCAGTGCACCCGGGTGGAGGAGCTGCTCCGGGATGATCAAAGGGCCAGTCCTATGACTACCACAGCTCTGGAATATGGGACCGGGCCATGGTGGGGCTGGAAATTTCCACCATAGGGGGTGGCACGTGCAATGTGCAACTTTGCAGGTGGTGCAACATGCAAAAAGGAACGCAGCCGTTGCTGGCCGCAAGGAGATAATGGTGCTGTTACCGGGGGGGGAGGGGCAAGAGGGCTGAAATGGCGGTGGCGGTGGCGATGGCTGGAAGGTGCGGGAGTGAAGTGCTACTTGTATTTGCATGGTATCAGCATTCCACCTTCACCATGGTATATTTGTGCCAGCTGGTGGCACCAAGGCAGCCCTTGTCTCCTGCTACTTGGGGCTCAGAGTGGTAAACCGCATCCAGGAAGCACTACAGCTTTTTTCCATTTTATCATTTCTTCCCTACATTACAGTACACTATTCATAACTATCCTATTTTAAATTTAATCAGCATCAACCTAGAATCTTAACCGGTGCATCATTATTATTTTTTGCACAACATACGGTAATCAAGGCAATGCAGCAAAGGAAGCAAAGCTAACAAATCTCAGTTCCCCCGCTTCATGCTAAATTTTTTAAAATAATTTCTACTCATTCCCATTTTAAATGTATAGGCATATTCATGACTGGGATTTATTCACCAATCCAATACAGAGAGAAGTCTTTAAAGCCCAGTGTTTCTAAATCTTCATTTTTAAATCGCACAGGCAAATAAAAGCAGGCTGGAAGCAAATGGAGGACTTGGAAAAGTAATGGTTGGGGAAAAAAATAAATGAGAAAAACGGAGATGTCCGGAAAGGAACGGCCGAATAATAATTTTAAAAAATCACAATCAAAGGGGATTTGGGCAGCTAACGCTGGAAAAGCCAGCTTTGGAAAGTGCCAGCTGGGTACAAAAAGAGGAAGGGGTCTTTTTTTCCCCAGAAAGAGCCACAGGGAAAGAAAGGGAAAGAGCCAGTCGGCTTTGCATGGAAAAGTCGGGCAAAGATACCTCAAAGATATCTCCAGGAGGAGGAGGAGGAGGTTTCCGCTGGAACCACTTCTTCCTTTTCTTCCCAGCCGTAGCCACCCAACCTCTGAAGATCCAGTATTTCCACCTCATCCAAAAGGTAGGTTGGGGGCAGAAGGATGGAAGAAATGGCGAGGGCTTTGTGGGGTTCCCCTGATAGATGATGGCTTGAAGTAGATGAAGGGCTTGGCTTGGCATACGAGAGCCGGTGCTGGGCTCAACTCCCAGCTGGAGGGGAGCTGCTGCGGGGGACTGATGAGGGGGGGCTTGGGGCTCAAAGCCCTTAGGGCTTGGAGCAGTAAACTGTGTCCAGGAAGCACTAGAGCTGAGAGAAGCAGCCAGAGTCAACCCTGGCTTTACTGTCCATTGCAGATGCTAGATTGGCCCCCTGCAAACTCTCGTCTCTCGAGGAGCCTGGCCAAAGTTTCCCATGCCGCTTCAGCGAGCGCTCCTTGAGAGATGAGAGTTTGCAGGGGGCTGATCTAGTGTCTGCAATGGACAGCAAAGCCAGGGTTGAAACCGGCTGCTTCTCTCTGCTAACAGGCACCCAAGCTAATTGCCTGAAGGACCCCATCCTGTCTCTGAGAGTCAAAGCGCTGAAGCGCAAGCAGCGAAGGAAACCTTAGTTGGGCTCGAGAGAAATGCAACAATTTCTCTGTGGACCACCAAAATTTTCTCATGGACCACCAGTGGTCTGTGAACCACTGGTTGGTGACCACTGGACTAGTTGACCTCCAGGTCCCTACCAGCCCTGGATTATCCTCTGAGGTTGCGTCTAGTGCCAGGTTTGTAGTCCTTCCTTCCTCTCCCTTCTCTTTCCTTCCTTCCTTCCTTCCCTCCCTTCTTTCTCTCTCTCTTTCAAAAACGCACCCCCCACCCCGTTTTTTGCCTACACCCTGTTTTTGGCCTAGCAGGCTTCAGGGAACCCCACCCCTGTAAAAAAAAGGTTCCGACGATCGTGCACCTCAGAGCCTTTTTTTTACTTTTTAAAAGTGTTTTTTTTTTACTACCGGCTTGGGCGAATAAGTAGTAAAAATATGCTTTAAAAAAGAAAAAAAGGCTCCGATGAGTGCATGGCACAGCTGTGATTGTCAGAGCCTTTTTTTTTTTTACTTTTTTAACACATTTTTTTTACTACCTATTCGCCTAAGCTGGTAGTAAAAAAATGCCTAAGAAGTTTTTTCAAAAGTTTTCCGAGGCTCAGCTGAGTGATGTCAGAACTTTTTTTTTTTTTTTTTTTACTTTTTAAAGCATTTTTAACTGCCGGTTCTGGCATGTATCCCTGCATGTGCAGAGGGTACAAAGCATTACTTCCTGGTTAAAACCAGGAAGTAATGACAACCAGGCGGGTGGGTGGAGCCTCGCGCCAGGATTGCTACTGGTTCTCTGAACTACCTGCCAGGATTGCTACCGGATCGGGCGATCTGGTCTGAACCGGGACCCTTTCACCCCTACTACTAATCCAAGTTAGTAGTTTATTGAGAGTCAGGCAACATAAAAATTTAATAATTATAATTAAAGACATAGATATCCTGTGAATTAATCCTTCATATTACTGTAATAGAGTGATTCTTCTTGTTCCCTAAATATAGAAAAATCTGAATATTACATTTATCCTGGAATAAATTAGCATAACCAGAAGACTTCCAATATACATTTCAAAACTTCCCTGTGGATACAGGAAGTTACACAATAAAGAATGTGGATCTTGCCAGTGCCCTGAAGATTTGCTAATTGCATGGTAGTTTGTTCTTGCTTACTTATGAGTAAGAACGACTTACTGAGCAGAGCAAGCAATTCTATGCCAGACTGTGAAGTATCACAGCCTTCTAGCTTGAACCCAATTCACAAAGCTTATTGGGCACACCCTCTAACATTACTAGAGGGGAAACAGCAATCCCAGAAGGCTGTATAACTTCAGTATCAGAGCAGATCATGCTTACTATGAAACAGGGAATCCAAGTGAATATATAACAATATATTCTTGTCTATCCCATGTAGTATAATTGTAACGTTTCTACATATTAATCTCCTTTGAAATGATCTTGTTTTTTGCTGATTTCATGGACAAGTCCCTGCAGATTTTTTGACAGTAGAGAAGTAAGTTTTCCATTTCCTTCTTCTGAAATGTTGACCTGCAGTTATTAAGGATTTTTTATGTAGTATTGTTGTTGTTAGTTGCAAAGTCATGTCCGACCCATCGCGACCCCATGGATAACATTCCTCCAGGCCTTCCTGTCCTCTACCATCCTCTGGAGTCCATTTAAGCTCATGCCTACTGCTTTAGTGACTCCATCCAGCACCTCATTCTCTGTCGTCCCCTTCTTCTTTTGCCCTCAATCTTTCCCAGCATTAGGGTCTTCTCCAGTGAGTCCTTCCTTCTCATTAGTTGGCCAAAATATTTGAGTTTCATCTTCAGGACCTGGCCTTCTAAAGAGTAGTCAAGGTTGATCTCCTCTAGGACTGACTGGTTTGATTGCCTTGCAGTCCAAGGGACTTGCAGTATTACTAATACATAGTATTAGGATATTTTATTAGAGGATTACTGCCAGATCTGCCACAAACTTAAACCTCTAAATGCAAATGATCCTTGGCTCCATTTGTTGAGAAAGGTATAGTGTTATTTCAAGCGCACTGCAGTAGTGCATAGCCAGAACTGAGAATCAGGTGCCAAAATCTCTAGTCCAACTTTTCCCTCTCTTAACTACCTTCCATTGCTGACCCCTATGTGACCAGTAAGGTTCAAGCAGGCCTGTCCAAGCGCAGATTGGTATGCAGCTGGTATGCCAGGTGACCTTGAAGCAGAATCTCCAAGAGATACAGTATTCACTTTCGTTTTCCCCTTTATTTCACCACTCCCCATAGTTCATGGCAGTATGTTACAATATAGTAGGGAAGCACAAGCAAGCATTAAGGTGGCAGCTGACAATTACACTTTTATTAAGATTCTGAAACCACGTCTCACTTTGTTTTCTAAGACAGGGGTTTCCAACCTTGGCAACTTTAAGACTTGTGGACTTCAACTCCTAGAATTCTTCAGCCAGCAAAGGAACTCTGGGAGCTGAAGTCCACAAGTCTTAAAAGTTGCAAAGGTTGGAGACCCCTGTTCTAAGATATTGTTGGCCTTTTTACTTTTCACAAACCTTGAAGATAGCTTGCCCAAAGAAATGAGATAAGGAATGCATTCCAAGGATAGCTTTACTTTAGATAAAAGCATTTTTACCAGCCCTGATAATGTTATCTAGATTGGGTAATGTCTACAAGAAAACAAGCAAGCTCAGAGAGCCGAGAAGCCCGCACATAATTTTGAATTATGTTCTGG